CTGGCCTCCCTAGGAGCCCTTCAAAGACCACTGGGACCACTAAGCAAGGAATGGCTCAAGGTTGGGCATGGTCTTGGCAAAGTGCCAACATGGTGGTGCACACCTGTAATCCCAGCACTCAGGAGGATGAGGCAGGAGGATCATTGCGAGTTCGAGACCAGCCTGGGCTGCAAAGTGAGCTCAAGGCCAGCCTGAACTGCATAGCAAGACCCTGTCTCAAAAAGAAAAAGCAAACAAACAAATAAATAAAATGTATCTATCATAACATCACACTGCTTTAACTGTTCTGGCTGTTTATCTTTGACAGGGACCTGAAGGCTAAGCAATTTGAGGCACCTTGTTTAAGAAAAAGGACACTAAATTCCTAACACAAAATTAAACAGGGGGCTTTGGAAGAGGCGCGTGCAGATGAGGGCCCCGAGCATGAGCATCCTTAGCCTTAAGGTAGAACTTCGCGTGGATCAGTAGGCAGACAAGGCGTTGCCGGTGTGAAGGGTACGCTCTAGGAGTGGGGAGGAGAGGCCCGCAGTAAGCAAGCACCCACGGACTTGTTTTCAGGGAGTGCCAGTTGCTTTGAAGCAAGTAAAATGGCATAACAGAGAGCGAGGAGGAGCAGGGGGCCAGGGCGCAGGCAGCTCCCCACAGACTCTCCAGGAGGCCTTCTGGGCAGGCCCACTACCTCCTGGGCAGAGGGCCTGTCTGTGGAACAGGCGGAGCTGGCACAGCAGGTTTGGAATGAGTGGAATGGAATATGAGGTAGCCGGAGCTTTGTTCACTCAAGAAGCCTTGGACTTGAGTGTTACAGTTCTGTGGACACAGGACAAACTATCTAAAAACTTAGTGGTTTTCTGGTTTTCTGAATACCTGTAATCACAGCACTCGGGAGGCTGAGGCAGGTGGGTCGTTGCAAGTTTGAGACCAGCCTGGGCTACAAAGTGAGCTCAAGGCCAGCCTGAACTGCGTAGCCAGACCCTGCCTCAAAAAAGGCAAAAAGAAAAAAAAGCAGCCATTCTGTTCTCTCACGGTTGTGTACATTGACAGGGCTTGGCTGGATGGTTCTTCCGCTTATGTCGTGTCAGCTGGAACTGCAGTTTATCCGAAGGCTTGACTAACCTGATGTAGTCACAGGGGCACAATCATTTCTCTAGTACCCTGGCAGAGATGACAGGACCAGTGACCTCTGCTGCCCAGTGGCATGGCTGCCCCCACCCCTTCATGCAGTTTCAGGGTCTGTCTTATGTGACCTCTCTAACAAGATGGGCAGGCCTCTCATTTGATTGCCGGGGCTTCTAGGAGGACACAGAAACTACTGATCCTTTTCACAGCTCTGCTCCCAGGGTTGGCAGAGTGCTACTTCTACTGCATTCTACACTGACTGGCTCAGGTGAGCTGCAGAGCGCTCTGACCCTGTGAGGAACGGGAGAGCATGAAGCTGTGAACATGGGGGACAGGGCTTCCTGGGAGAACAGCTCCCATAAACCCCTCCGCTCTGCATGCAGAGAGTAGACTGGAATGAGACAAGAACGGACGCAGAGATGCTGGTTACAAAGGAGGCAATGGTAGGGGCTGGGGATATAGCTCAGCGGCATAAGCGCCTGCCTGGCAAGCGCAAGGTTATGAGTTCGATCCCCGGTACCACAAAAAAAAAAAAAAAAAAAAAGGAGGCAATGGTAATGCTCCAGGCAAGAGGGGCTGGTCCCTTGAACTATGGTAGGAGCTGCAGATATGGAAAAAAATTTGATGGACTGGAGATGGGATGACAAACTTGTGTTTGCTCAGAGGTTAGAAGCACATCTAGGATCAGTGGAGATTAAACATAAAGTATTTGGGCTTTTGTCACCCAGGAGATTGAAGTAGTGTTTTATAAAGATTGGCTCATGTGGCAGCAGAGTGCAGAATAGACTCAGGTAAAAATAAAGTTCAGGGTAGTGAGCAAGATCTGATGCAGGAGACAAGGTAGCAAGTTCATGTGCCCTGTGATCTAAATCCCTGAGCACAGTGGCAGCAGATAAATGGAAATGATGGAAAAGAAGAACGAGAGAGACGCCAGGAAGGCCAAGCTGAGGGCACCCACTCTCTCCTCTGATGTGGGGCTAGGAACCAAAGAGAAGGCAGTGCGGGTCCAGCAATCAAGCGTACTTCATGGAGGGTCCAAGCCAAGGCTGTGGAGGACGCTGCTACCATCGACAGTGACAGAGCCAGGAAGGTTAGAGAGGGAGCCGGCTTTTCGGGAGAAAGCTGTGTTCACCGCCACACTTGGCCGTGCAAACAGAAATGCTAAGTTGGAGACACCTTAGAAATAGAAGGCCTGACCTCATCAGACAGAGGGAGCCCAAAGGGCAGATGGGTCTGATGAGAGAAGGAGGTTGGAGCAGTGGGAGGGACAATCCTGAGGGGAATGGGCTGTCTAAGGTGGCCCAGAGGGGCCAAGACAAAAGGTGTTTCTGAGTTCAGGTCTGACACAAAGACTGTTTAATAAATAAATAAGTAGATCACTAGGCTACAAAGGGCATCAGAAAGCGTACAAGAGGCCAGGCATGATGGTACACACTGTAATCCCAGCACTCAAGAGGATGAGGCAGGAGGATTGCCATGAGTGCAAGACCAGCCTGGGCTACAGAGCAAGACCTTGTGTTAAAAAAAAAAAAAAAAATCACAAGTGCCTGCCTGGTAAATGGAAGATCTTGACTTAAGATTCCCGGTACCAAAAGAAGACGAAGGAGGAAAGGGGGTGGGGGAGGGGAGGAAGAGAAGGAGGAAGAGGAGGAAGGGCAAAGGGAAAAGGAGAAGAAGGAGAAGCAGAAGGAGAAGCAGAAGGAGAAGGAGAAGCAGAAGGAAAAGGAGAAGGAGAAGCAGAAGGAGAAGGAGAAGAAAAGAAATGATACAAGCATTGCTGAGTGTGGTAGCACACACCTGTAATCCCAGAACTTGACAGGCTGAGGCAGGAGGCTCAACCGAAGCTTGAGGCCAGTCTGGACTACATAGTGAGACCCCGTCTCAATCCCCACATCCCCCAAAAAGATACAAGTGTTGAATTTGGCCTTTAATCTTCAGCAAGTTTTCAGAAAGCATTTTGGAGCGATCGGATCAAGGATCAAGAAAACCAGATTTCAGGGACTAAGATAGTTAAGCCGGGTGAAAGAGCGGGAGGGATTGCTGGTGACTGGTCGGACGGCTGTGCTTCAGGGGCTGGTGTGGAGGAAAGAGATGTGTGAGCTTCGCGGGGCAGCGGCCTGCTGAAGAGGACCCAGGGGCTCAGCCCGACCCTGCACTCTAAAGAAGAATTTACAGAGATTAAAAAACAAGCAAAGACTGCACATTATAGAAACAGCGGTTTAAAATGGACCTTTTTTGCTCTGAACTAGAAGGGTTTCCCCCTTCTTTAAAAAAAGAAATTAATCACTATTCCTTTGCCAAAACAATATGAACACAGGATTTGTTCCGTTTTTCAGCCTGGAATCTCATTGCAAGGACCTCTCTCAGAAAGGGCATGGGGAGAGAAACTGTACGTGGATCTTTCGTTCTCTTTCCAGTGGACTCTTCCTGCCTCAGCCAACTTTAGTGGAACCTATGTGCTGCCGTACTGTACCAGCTTCAAAACATCTTGTCTTATAGATGTGCCAAGGGGATAGCAGCTTTCCTCTTTATGAAGCGGCTGCTTTTCTTCCTCTGCATCTTATTAAACAAGCAGCTCACATGACCCATAAGGCCAGGCCTGTTTCCAAGAAAGTGGAAAAAAAACTGGCATCTGTAAAAAGAAAAGTTAAAAAAAAAATCCCTATGTTTCTGAGTACTCGACAAACAATTCCAACTGCAGATTGAACTGTAACAATAAAAACATACTTTTTTTGTTTGCTTATTATTTTGCATTGGGGGCAAATAGAGAGTTCTAGTGCTCTGGCTCTGAAATCTAAGAGCCAGTGACGTGGAAGTGTATTTTGCAGACCTGAGTTTGAATTCCTCCTTCATCACTCTCTGGCTGTGCCAGAAACGAGAAACTGCTGTAGAGTTCATGGTCGCGTTAGGTCTGCTAAGTAACAGAATCCTGGAGTTTTTCCAGGCTCATAGCTGCCCGGCTGTGCGCACATTCCCAGCCTCCTTTGAAGGTAGATGTGGCCATGCAGCTGAGTAGATCAGAGGTCTGTGAGTACAGAAGGGGCTCATGATTTCTGGGCATCTCCTGTGGCACAAGTACTGTCCTAAGGTGCCCTTCCCTCCTCCTATGGGCCGGCCATGGCAGTGGCCTGGCTTTGGTCACTCAGGGTAAACGGAAGTGGCAGCGGCCAGGCAAAAGGAGCCCAGATTCGGGAATTACCTCGTGGAGCACCACTGCTCCAACAGCTTGAGAGCCCCATACTGTGCTTCTGCAGAGAGTAGAAATGACCATTAATTAAGTCACTATACGTTGTGGTCTCTTTGTTACAGCAGTCCGACAGCCTCAAAAACACACTTACTTGTGAAGTGCCCTTGGGGTTTAACCCCTCCAAACCCCACTTCCTTCTTCTATAAAATGAACATAATTTCTGCATCACATCCTTGCGGTGAAGATTAAGTGAGAGAATGCACGGGAGGACTGGAGCCTGCGGTGTGACAGGTACCTATGAAGATCCTTTATCTTCCATTCGACTCTTTAGAAACATGTCTCATGCAGCTTCTCAATGAATACACAGACTGAATGTCATGCAGCTGAGTAATGTGACTGCCACTGTATAGGAGACGGCCCTTGTAAGGCACTGCAGCTTCTCTGTGTGACGCTGTCACTCCCGGGACAGCGGATAGGGACTCCCGGGACACACCCGGAGCCTCACACTGTTGAGACCTTGATTTAGTAACTGCGTTTTCCCCCAGCTCACCATGGAAGGGATCGTGGAGACGGACAAGTGCAAAAACAGAAAACAAGCAAAACGGGGGAGAAGGCTGCTTCTTCGTCCAGGCTGGATTGGCACCTGCGATCCTTCTGTTTCAGCTTCCCCAAGTGCTGGGACTGCAGGAATGGACACCTGGCCTGGCTAAGAGTTCACAACATGACACCAAAAGTGTAAGCGACAAAAGAGCAATATAGCCGGATTGGTGGGAGTGTACATCATGACATGTCGGCTTGAATGGATTAGTAACGCACAGTTTGGGGTGTGTCTGTGGTTGATGACACGGAGGCCAGAAAGCGGGGGAAGAGGACCCGCCCTGGATGTGGTGACACCAGCAATAGGCTGGCAGCCTGGACAGAGCAGAAACGGGAAAGGAGGCCGTGTCCCAGTCTCCGAAGAGCCCCGGGCTTCACTGTCACCTTTGGACGCTGCTCTCCAGCTTCCTCAGCCTTCCGAGCGCACTCGCACCAGCGACCGCACCAGCTCCCAGCCCCCGCAGGTCGCAGCGTCCTCCGAGTGCAGTGGGGAAGCAACCACCCCGCTCTGAGGAAATCCAGTTAATGCCGCAGACTTCCCCCACGCCAGTGTGAATTCACACCGCCTCACATATGCGACGCCCTCGAGGAATCTTTATTGAAAGAGTTACTACTGCGTCACCGGCCAGTCAGAGCAGGAACGGCGAGTACTCGGGAATCCCGAGCGGTGATACCTCTGCTGTGAAGACTTGAGGTCACTCAGACGAAAGTCCCCACCGAGTCCACGACGCACCCTTAAGAGGCACGATCACGAGTCTGCATGAGAATATAAGCCCTAGAGGGCCAGTTCCTTGTCTCATTCCCCTCTGAATCGAAGTGCACAGCGCGAAAACACTAAGCAAATATTTACGGCGTGAAAACATTGGTACAAACTGCAAGGTAAGTGTTTTTATCTCCGTCACTTCTCTTCTCTCTCCGCCCACAAATGGGGACAGGGGCGTGCGAACGTGAAGCAGCTTGCCCTAGCTGGCCCGCTTGGTAGAGAGCAGGGCCAAGACTTGGATTAAACCCAGACTCACTGAGCTCACATTCTGAGGCCTGCTCATTTTCTTTTTTTTTTTTTTTT